GAATTTGATTTAATTTGTTTTTTATATCAAATTTAATCCTTATTCTTTTGATTATTATTTATTTTATTTGAAATAATTTCTGACATATTTTTTTTAATTTTATCAATTTTAAACTTTTTTATCTGTCATATTTGACCCTCATTCATTAGATTGCTATTATTTTATCTGAAATAATTTATAAAATTAATTTTTTTTTCAATTTCATTATCCTTCAACTTTTTTATTTGTTAGATTTAATTTTTATTTTTTAAATAAACTTGAAAAAAATAAAAAGTTATTTTTCAACCTATTTTTCATGATATAGCCAGATTTTAAAAAGTATTTTTCACTTTATTTTTTATAATACTATAAAATATAAAAAATAATTTACTTTCTAGTTTATAAAAACTACTTCCTAATAAGAAAAGTATTGAATAATGGTCTTAAGAATTGAACTCAGAATGTCAAGAGAAGAGCGTACTTCCTAAACTACCGGGCCAACCTGTTGAGATCTCTTCTCATTCTATTTTAAATATATCTAATGTACATAGATGAAATTTCTAGATATTTAGGTTGTATATGCTTTTAGAAAATAATTTTTTTTTATATATAGTATTCTTATTTATTCTAAAATATCTTTTTAATAAAAAAATAATTTTTTTAATTAAACATACAATTTTCAAAATAGAAAACAAGGAGCTTGTTTGACTTAGATTGAAAGTTATAAAAGAAATGACTTCAAAATATTTGGTGAAACAAACAAATTAAACCCATGAGAATTTGAAAAACAATTATTTTGATTTTTTTAATTTTCTAAAAAAGTTGAGAAATAGAAAATACATGTTTGAAAAAAAAACAATTTTTATCTTCAATAAATAAATTCATTTTTTTTAGTTTTCTGTTTTCTTTTTTTTAAAAAAAACTAAAAGACTTTGATGGTTTTGTTGCAGAGACTTGAGCTTTAACAACTTAAGTGGTCGGATCCCACGGTCTATGAAAAATCTATTTCTTAATAGATTGTAAGTGAAGAATTTCTTCAACTCAAGCAAATCGAACTCATCATAATTTTATTTTTTTGTTTGGAATCCATTAAAAAGTCGATATATTTACAATTTGTGGATTATAAACAGGGGTCTCGCAAGCAATATGCTTAGTGGGCCAATTCCTTCCTGGATTCGTGACATATATAAGGTGTAAGTTTCCTGTTACTCTGTAATATAATTTTAGAGGAAGCTATTCAATTTCTTTTGTCCAATAAAATAAATGAAAAAGGCCTCTTCTCAAATAAAATATTATGTTGCAGGGATCTGTCGTATAATTATAACTTCACAAATCCATTTATAATATTTATTTAATTTTTAACATTTACAAGAATTTATTTAGTTTAGGAATCCTAATAAATGCGGGTGGAAGCTAATAGACAAAAGAAAGCATGGATAATTGAATGAGCGGGAACCCTAAATTCACAATTTTTTTCTTTTATCAAAAAAGAAAAGCATCTTCTTTTTATTGCTTTTCAGTCTCCTTTTATTACTCCATGGAAGGGAGATGCGCCGCGCCTTCTATTTTTGGTTTTGCGCCACCATGTCGAATGAGCAAATCCTTAAAAAATAAAATATATGATGAATATCTCTTTTAAGAGAATTACAAAGTATTTAAATAGGATAGAAAACCCGAAAATAACTAAACATTCAAAGGCATGAAGGAAGAAAAATAAAAAATAATAAAATAATAACATGAGCCCAAGCAGTAGCATGTGGACCTGAAACATGGTTTTGAAAGATTCAATGTTCAGTAAGTGATGCTATGACTTCCCATAGGAAAACCGTCTCTTGAATCAACTTGAAATATTTGAGCCAAATTTAATCTTTTACTATTCTAATTTCAAGGTGTTAATCTGGTCTAGATATCTAGATTTTTTTTCTAGGTGTAGACTTATCATATTAGCCCATAAAAACATTTGTTAGACCATCTGTAACCTTATCAA